CCTTGAGATGGTCCAGACGTACTCGAACCTGACATGCGCTATTTCCGGGATATACTCCATTCCTATAACCCACCGCTGGACCGCACAGTGCAGAGTGTATCGTCAAATCTAATGCCAACATGTGATGCCTTCAACTCATCGACCTTCCGTCGTGCGATCGCAAGTTGGCTCGTCGCCTGAGGCATACCACTCCTCGGTGAAAAATGGATGAATTACTCCTTACCTCAGCGTACTCTATTTTTAAAGCTCGAGCATTGGACACTTCCTTGTCAGCTCTCGCCTGCGCCAAGGACAACTCCGAAGCTCGATCGGCCACCTCTATCCGTAATAGCTCTGCTTCCCGCTCCAACGCCTGGTACTTCTGCAAGAGCTCTGATCAGACAAAGGAGTGGTATCCCCCTGTCTCCCAGGCCCCGACAGGGCAACTTCCCCTTACCCCGATGAGATGCCACCCATGATCGGATCTGGTCACTGAGCTCATCAATCACTTCCTGACGACTAGCAGCCAAAGACTGGTCACCCTCTCGCCTCTGGGCCGACAGTTCGTACTGCTCCGACAGCTTCCTCTTTAATGCCTCTATCTAACAATACAAAAACACCATCATCGTCCCACCCATTCAGTGTGTGCTCTCTGACCTCTTTTTCCATACCATTAATCCTCCGCCTTTGCTGTATCAGCTGACTACTAGCAGAACTAAGCTGATCTTGAGCCTTGAACAACTCGTTGGCGAAGCTATCAACCCGTTCCTGTGAGGTCGCCAGAGACAACTTCAATTCCTCAAGCTTTTCTTTCGCCTCCTTTTCCACTGTCGAGCTGTCGTCCTTCTCACTACCACTGGTGGACTTCGAACACGACGGGCAAAGTGCCATGACGTTGGTCATGCTGGTCTCAGCCTCTCGCTTCGCCCATGATGCCCTCAGTTCCGCCCCTGCACGCGCGTGCTGCTCTTGGAGATCGGACAGTTGTCTTTGTGACCTCCTTAACGCTATCTCTGTGTCGCGCAGCTTATCCCGAAGTTGGCCCACCTGAACAACTATCGGGCGCGCGCTTTTTACATCTTGATAACTACCTGTTGCCAGGCCGCCACGGTTTGGCTACCTCCATGAGACGCAACTGAAGAGTCCGTCTGAGTCGACGCGTTTTCCATAAAGTGTAGACCCGACGTATCCACTGAATAGGAAAGCGACTACCAACTCCAGCTGAGGGAAGCCTCTGTCGTACCAGCACTATCAATGCCGCCACCGCCGCCGCCTCTGTTCTTCATACTCTCCTTCAACTGAGTTACCTCAGCGTCAAGAGCGTAGCACTGGGATACCTTCGGCCGCATCACCTACAGTTGTCGGCTATAACAACATATAACGGATAGAGCCTCTTCCGAGGCTCGAAGAGAAAGAGCAGTTATGATGGTTGTCCATGGTTTACTATATCACCCTAATGCGATGATCTCTGCTCTACACAGTGTAGATTATATAATAATCGGCAAATGGCTATAGTAATCCTAGTAGTATTCCCCAACGACAGATCATCGCGTGTTCATTCAAATTTGATTCGGCTGAGTTCGTCCAACTCGATGACCATCACTCACTTCCACTTGCCGCTGGAGTGCCCTGACCTTCTTGACCAGCTCGGCCTTAGTAGCATCAGCCAGAGCTGCATTGATTGACGAGAAGTAGGACGGCGAACTGTCCTCCGATCCATCTTCAGCGCATCCCCATGAGCCTGCGACACCACCATACAGTGCAGAGGGAAATGGTCGGTGACACTATGAAAACTTTCGGAAAAAAATTTTGGGGAATTCTTTTGGGTTTCTGTGCACTTCCACCCAAGTTTGTATATAAATTCCTGAGCTCAACTGAGGATACGCTACCACCATACAAACATCGGCTCCGGCTGAGACCCTTCCCACTACCTTCCGAAGTCGTCTGACATTCCCCATCGATCATCGTTGAGGTCGCCAGTGAGGGTGTTATGACACCACTTGACTGCGACGGGCGAGAGAGCTCCGCCAGCCTGGCTTCCATGTTGGCCATTTTCACTTGCAACGATGTGATCTCTCTGAGGAGCATATCTCGACTGTTGCTATCCTGAGGTCCTCCTACTCTTGTTTTTCTTGGAGCTGCAGTATCCACATGCTAGATGATGACGACCAGAACTTGTGTTTTTTCAAACGCCGAACTAGTGCATCGCGCTCCTCAGTGACACCAGCCAGCTGGACCTCCAAAGCGTGAATTTGGAAGTCCTGTGCGGTAGCGCTTATCGTGGGGGCGGCAGCCGAGGTCGAGCTTGAGAAGTAGCTGCTCATGCCCGTATGATGAAGTTTGCAAGAGGCAGTATGATACCTCGGTGTTGACAAAAACAAACTCTGAGACTGGTAATATACGTACTGGACGCAACCCTATCGTAAAACGGAAAGGAACTTCAGAGTACAGCTGAACACAGTCATTTCCCAATAGAAGCCGCCGTGTTGGAGTTTTCGGCAAACTCCGCCGCCTTGCCAGGGCCCATGTGCCAGAAGGTGTATCTAAGGTCGCCTCTAGCAAGATTCAAATCATGTCCAAATGCTCCCTCTTACTGCTCGCTCTGTGATCCTCCAAAGCCACCCTTAGCCCGATAGTTTGACCACACCCCACCAGTGTTGGAGTAGTAGTCCATAGGATACCTTAAAGGCTCCTCTTCCTCGGACCTCTTACAACAGGACGTACCCGACGAGGAACATCCATTGGTCGAAGCTCTGCCGTACCTACAAAGTTGAGATGCCTATATAAACGCACTTCCCCACCAACACTAATGTGATACTCAATCGAGAGACGACGACATTCAGCAACACTGAAGTTCATAGCGGTAGACTCCCCAGCTGCGGTACCAGGTAGTAGTATTACTTTTCATCTCCAAATGCAACGCAAGCCTCGTAACTCGACAGCATAGGAGCATCCTTAGAATAACTACAAGGAGTACTGTGTCGACGAACAAGGTAGAAGGATATTACTCTGCAGCTCCCCAATCTAGTGCCAACCTCGGGCATGCCACCTCCACCCAACAACCTACTGAGTCACCGAGGTCTCTCAGCTTCTCTGTGGTGATCTACAATACGGAAGATACCTATAAGCCGCATCACTACTACTCTTACCTCGCTCAGCAACACCGTCACAGTGTCCCTGCCGGATTTGTGTACTATCTCCCTCACCGACTCCAGGATCCCCACTGAGCCCTGCCGCCCCAGTGTTCCCAAGATCAACCCTGAGAAGCTGCCCTAAGACCACCGCCACGCTCGGGCTTCTCACCAACAGTTTTCTTAGACGCCCTTGCTCGTGCTATCTCCCCTTCTCTGATCCTATGCATGGTAGCTTGATCTAAGCCCTCACGGAATAGTCGCCGAGTATAGGGACAATATCGCAACCTGTGATAGCACTACTACTATGGATACGACGACGGCTCGGATGTTACACATTGCTGATGCTCGGACTCGCCAACATGGCACCCTCCAAGTGAAAGCGACCGTCTGCTACATAGTAGATAGTCTTAGCGCGATCGTCTAGGGATGGCGCTGTGCATCCTAAGGTCTAAATGGGAGGATCATAGTTAATGAGGTGGGGGTGAGCATACCTCGCCCTTGCTCAATGGCTTCACTTGTGGTATAAACAAGTCGTCCTCGGACCACCCGTATCTGGCAGGTGCGGTTTGAATAATTGAAGTCGTGAAAGTTGCATAAAGGTCATGTTCCCGATGCTACTTCCTGCGCATGATGTCCTTCGCCTCGTCCAGCATCTGTGAGAACTGGACTGTCGCCATCAAGGCTACAGGCCTCTGCTCTGGTGGAACAGCCGCAGCTAATGACGCGGTCATGTGATCAACGTCATATGATATACGCACTAGGACATATCTAGAGGTTCACCATGTAAGATACGGAATAGGTCCGCTTTACTCACATCGTGTAGACGACAGTCTGATCCACTGGAGTGAGGCAAGAGTGACCTGATGCCTGTGTACTGCACTTACTCACATTATTGCGGTACTACCATAATGAACCATAGCATCCGCTCCTATAGCCCGGCAAGTGAGGTCGTCAATGCAGCAAGCTCCGAAAACAGCATCAGCAACGATCGTGACAGTGCGGAGATAAGGCGTGCAAAACCTGAGTATTTCCCCTACATGAAGAGCTGCAGGCCCAGCTGTGGCTTAGTTACTTTTTGAATAAATCAGAAAGAATTGTGGCGAACTGAAGGAGGCCATCGGGGAGTTGTAGGGCCACATGGGTGCATTTCTAAGGGAAAGTCACCTGTGTTGGTCACCTTTTCTTCCCCCTACTACCCTTTTTCGGAGTTTGCTTATGGTCTGAGGTATTTCAAAGTCGTAGGCAGGCGGCAATGCTCGGGCTATGGCCCTAGTGAGGAGCTCGGGATCATATCCCAGTTCAGGGTCAATAGAGTCTCCTAGTGGCATTGGTAAGAACAATGTACGACTGGACGACTGAAGGCAGTTCATCGAGGCTCTGGCAAGCAACAAGTTAATCCCATGATTTGGCAAATCGTAAGGGTGTTCGAATCGGATCGCGCTCGCCTCGAGCGACTCGACAGCATTCGGAGCACTCTGTTGATTCCAATGTTAAAGTTCACTACAGCCCTTCTCCTGGGCATTGTTAGTGCCAAGATCTACCCTTTACGTATCCTTTACGGTGAGGGTGATCAGCTAACGTATTTCTTCATACCAACTAACGAGGAATATGAGATAGTTCATCGTCAAACCGGCCTTTACTCCTTTGAGCCACTGAAGCATTCCAAGGTGAGTGCTCGGCCCATCGGCTTACATTGGGTCTTGGTTACTGAACCCCAAACTGAGGAGGTTGCAGCTGGTGCGACCATCCTTGCCTTGGACAAGCATGGCCTGACGGAACAGTTCACAGTTGATGTAGGCAGAGACGACAAGAGGTGCTTTGAGAACCTAGAGTTCGTCACGGAAGAAAGAGGAGGAACACAGATGGTCACTAGTGAGATGGGATTCAAATTGAGTGAAATGCAAGCAGATCTACAGCGACTTTGTACAACCAATGGATTAAGAACCCTCACGTCTGAAGAGTACTTTAATTACAGCAAACTGCTACCTGGCAAGTACGTGGGAGAAATGAATGATGAGATCAAGGAGGAAGTGAAAGTGAGGGCAAATGGAGTCCTCGAGTCGCTGATTGGTGTGACTAGAGTGGATAAGAACTCTTCTCCCAGCAAGTATATCCAAGCTGGTGGTTTCCTCATATCCCAAATTCGTTTCCACAATACAAGTACAACAGAATGGAACGATCTCTATTTGATTCTCACACGAGCACCAGGCAAACTCGAGCGATTGAGGAAGTCTAAAGGAAGTCTATTGAGAGCATTCATACGACAAGGGAGTGAGTCTTTCGGAAAGGATAATATCCGTTCTTGGTATATGGCAGTACGCGACTAACTACTGGTAGCCTTGTGAAGTACTCATGTTTGTCATGGTGTGTTAATACGATGTCTTGTGACTACAGTGTTGTTGCTTCACTTAGTATAGAAAACAGCTGAAATCTACCTTTGTCGTAGCATTCGGTTTCCAGTTTCACCATTTCTTACACAGTCTTCTGTCCATAGCGACTGTAGATTATCAATGGCTGGGACGAAGCTGTTGCTACTATGCATCGAGGGGGCGGACCATTTTCACTCTCCATCCTTATTACGGCTATGGTGCCACGGGAGCTGGTGCCGAGATACCTCATAATTCGTGGTTGAAGTTCGACGTGGAACTGTTCAGCTCGCAGTCTGCTGTTAGTTGATCTTTAGTGACAAGTGGAACATGTCCAAGCAGGAGAAGATCGGCGCAGCGCCCGCCTGTAAAGAGGAGGTAAATCACTAAACACAAGAACTCAATTACCAGTAAATGCTGACTGATGTATAGTAACAATATGAAATAAAACTTATGTATTACAGCAGATGAATACTAGCGACAAAGAGGGACGAAGCTAAGACTCTTACCACAATCACACAGAGCAACATACGAATACAACACTTAGCCGACCCGGGCCGGGCGCATGGTTATCAAGGGAAGTTAATCCATTTCTATTAGACTTTTCAGTGGACAGTTTCCACTGAGATATCTGCGAGATGAGCTACTAGGAAAACACGCTTGACTATTGACACCGAGACTGGTCATCAGTTCCGCTCTATGGGATGTGGTCCTTCAAAACAACGCGCAGTCTACGCCACACAACGAGCCGACTGTCATAATGAAGCTAGGCAACATCGTGGGAGGAGTAGTCCCGTTCAGCACGATCATTGAGAACTCGATTAAATGCTCGTAGGCAGACTACATGATAGTCAATCTGAGAGTAATGAGAGCGCCATCAGTGATGAGAGCCTCGACGAGTCGGAAGCGCACGAGCCTAACGCTAGAGCTGCCATAGTAAGCAGTTCTCTGTTGATATATGAGCTCAGGAGAGGCGTCAGAACGCAGGGAGTCAGTCGTCAGTAGCCGCAGTAAGACGTATGGCTGCTGAAGCACGACAGATGGAAAGAGACAAAATAGACGGAGTCACTGCCCGTGAGCGTGCTGGCCAGTCCCTGTTACTTCTGATCGGCCCTCGTTGCAGATCCAGCATCAGCAAGCTCGATGCTCCGTTGGGTAGGGTGTATTAAAGGGCCCCAGGTATTGGTACACCTTACGAAGGGGGATCTTTCGTGGGAAGCCTCTGAAGTCCTTTACTACTTTCACACTACTTAGACGATCGATATTGACATCCCAGAAGGCTACCCTTTCAAACCACCAAAAATGCGTTTTCGAACACCTATATGGCATCCCAACATCACTGGTATGACCAACTCGTGCCTGTGGGGTTGATCGAGGCTTGTAGGGGATGGACGTGGGCGTATATGTATGGACATCCTTAAGGCAGACCATTGGTCGCCACTTCTCACTCTACAGACCGTCCTTTTATCGCTGATAAGCCTGTTGGCCGACCCGAACACCGGGGACCCCCTCAACTTGGAAGCTAGCGATGAGCTTGAGCAGTCGGTGATTGTGGCCTCTAGTGTGTCGGGACGCTCATTGTCGGGATCAGTTTCCCCGAGGTGTTCCAGAGGAAGGCTAGACAGTGGACCGTTGATCATGCCTACCACAAAGGAAGGATAGTCAGACCCCGTCACGAAGACAGCAACGCCTACCTACAATGTAGGGATGCTGCTACTGGCCAGGGGTCAATGAGTACTCGCTCAAGGCGATCCTGCTGGGCAAGTGGTGGATGAGGATGAGGCCCTTGCCATGGCTTTCCAGCACTCCCTGAGGAGCCCCTGAGCCTCCATGAGTTTATACCAATGCAGTGGTTCTGGAGGAACCCCTGAGGATGCGTTCTTTCAATGCAATTATCATTCTTCACTGATAGTTTGCTGAATGTTGACGCCGATTTCCCTCGAGACTGAATCACGTCGGTTGCCTTCGGAACCGACTGATGCCTGTTCGATCAGCTGCTCTTCCATTACATGGGAGGAACTCAGCGATGTTCGAGCCCTTGGAGCCTTCGACTATCTAGTGAGTTGACTCCGACGAGGCTATTGAGTGGTCTCTACTCGTATCAGTTCGTGATCGAAGGGTGTGAGGCCCGGCATATGGTCGTCTTCGAGCAACGCTGCGGAGGCAAAGCGATCGAGCTCCGGGGTTACCACGTGACTGAGGTCTCAGCAAGCTGTACTTGTTCTAAAGACCACCTCTCGTTGCCAGGTGCTCATGTCACGAGAGCTCCGCATGCACAGTACAGAGCGGCGCACAATCTATAGAGTGCGACTGACTACCTCTCCTCGATCTGCTCCCGAAGGTACCAAGACCTTGGGCCTGTTATTCTGCGGAGTTCAAACACAGACATCATGCTTCGAGTAAACGCAGTGCGAGGGCTCTCCGAAGCTGCACTTCTGACATATTGGGAGACTATGGCCGACTCCCAGTGTGAGTATTATGACAGCGCGTCAAAAGCTGCCCTTGCAATTTCAGTGCCAGCAGAGGCTTGGACTGGTGGATGGATGTCGCATGCAGAGCTGCTCGCTCTGTGGATCCTTACGGGGAATATGAACTGGCGTGCAGTACTCCATCGAAGTGTCGAAAGTCGAATCCTCGAAGTCATAGCGCCATCGATCTTCGTCGCGTACATCCCTGTAGTCAGTCCGTCAAGACTCTCGGTGTGATCCTGCTCATCGACCACTACCAGCGATCCCCGAAGGCCGCGTGCCGGTGGGAACGTAAAGCACTGTTATGGAAACATTAGTAACCTCCAGAATACCGCACCGGATACGTCGACATCCACGACCCACACCTCCGCTGCAATAACGCGTGAGGCGGCAACAGTGCTAACTGGAGCACTACGAGGAGGCGTGGCTCGACATGCTGGGGCACTAGCCGCATTCGGAGTGGAGGCTACTGTGTTCGCGAGAGAGTAAGGCTAGTAGTCTCTACCATGGCCACGGTGCAATAGGTTTAGAGAATCTGCCGGGCGTCGGTTGAGTGGCGAGATATCCGAGCATACGCATGTTACTAACATCTCCAGAGCTGGTATATCAGCATCTAGTCGAGCTCTTGGGAGTCTGGCTGGTTGTGGTATTGGACAAGCCGCCATACCAATTCCTGTAGACAGACCCAATGCAGAAGATGATGCATCAAGAGTTTCATATGCAGATAGTTGGTGCGATCGCTGGAGGTCTCATTGGTGGCTTTGCTGGTGGCGAACTTGCTAGCAACTTCACCAATACAGCGTTGAGGATTTCCGAGGGAGGGATCAACGCGCCTGATGTACAGTCTCATCGAGTAACGACTGAGACACCTTGAGTATCAGGTTGATGGAACGACCGGATGTGGAGACTCGGCGGACCGGGTCGTGGATGTTGACGACGACAGTGAGCTGCTGTAGACTGAGCGCCATCTCGAAGTGCTCCTCATGCCGCCTCTGTGTTGAGTTATTCTCTGGTTGATGTGGAGGCCCATGCGACTGACATAGTGGCTTCCGATAATGGTTCACTCTTATCTTTGAATCCTTGCGTGATATAGAACTTGTATACCACAACTACGGTCAGTGATGAGGTGCTTCTAGGGCTACTGTGATTGGTCTCTTGTGAGCTATAGCAGTCGGGTTGGTGCTATAGCAGCTATACAGCGATGAAGCGATCAGTTCCGTCAAACAATTCGGAAGACGATGCAGCGAATATTCAATACTGATATGATACTATCGATGTGCTCGAGGAGTCGACCCTTCACGGTGATAACGTATGCATCCTTCGTGCACTATTGGTCACGTGATAACGTTTCAACAACGTTTATGAGGTCGTGTGGCATTAAAGAGAAGGATTCTGCTCGTCAATGATCACTGTCACGCCTCAACCAGTCCTTGGTGACCCCCAGTGTGATTGCTGACGTATCAGTTCGAGGGGGACTCTAATACTTCTTTGTTTCCTTGATGCCGCAATGCGACCGTCCAGGATCTGCCCATGTACACCGATCGATCGTGGATGCGGCCTCTGTTGCTGAGGAGATGTTCTGCTGGTCGCATCCCTTGAACGTTCTCGCCATTGCGACATCACTGGCACCCATCGCGAGGGTTTAGGATAATAGTTCGTTCTGGAGTGGTTTCTTCTACCTCCTGTATGGGAAGGCTGTCATTACACCCGATATTTGAGCGGTTAAGATGTCACGAAGTCGCCCCCGATCATTGCTACTGCCATTGTCTGCAACACGTCAGCGCGACTCAAGTAAAGGTGACGCAAAATACTAAATCCCCTCCGTGGGAATTGAACCTGCGTGCTTCGCCCGAAATGATTGATCATTCCCCGCACGACGATTTGCACGGTTTCTGTAATGGCGTCACCACTCTTTGATGGAAGTCCCATCATAGTCCCCATCAGGTGTCGAGAGCAAACCCTCTATTCTTGCGAGTATCCCTACTCTAAATGTACGAAATGGCTCTGTGTTTGCGTGCAGTTATTAACCTGTTATGGCGACTACGAACACATTTCAGAAGCCCAGCTCTCCCCCTGAGAGCTCCGATGAGGGGGAGAGCGATGAATTTTCTGACGAGTTTGAGGACCTACCAACTGCCGAGAAACTCGTGTCTGCCAGCGAGGAGCTCAGGGTCATCGCTTCTGCCGAGAAAACTCCTGACAGTGACAAGGCCGTCAGCAGTGAACTTCTGAGAAGTGCTTTGCTCGACCAAGTCTGTAGGGGCACCATCCATGGTGATGCTACTCCCAACAACCTCCTTGCTGAGGACAGCGAAGCGGTGAGTAATTTCGAGCATCAACAGGAAATGGATGGTCATTTTTTAGTTCTTATCATCATTGACAAACGCTGACCCAAGAAGGATCCGCACCCAAACTGAGTTGCTCTGCCAACGCCTCGGCTTAGGCAGGCCTCATGTGCATGTCAATAAGCAGACGCTCACGTCGGCCGTCAGGAACGCCGCCACGGACCCCGATGCTTCTATTATGTCGGTCGATTTTGGTAACCATCCATTTTTTATGAGGCACGAATCGTGGTCGGGGCCGACGGGATGGACTTGTCGCGTTCCTAGGCGTAACACCGACTTCTGAGAGTCTTGTGACTCTCAAGTCCTTCGGATAGGCAAAAACAATTGCTGCTTGGTCGACGAATGAAATTCCATTTTGACCATAAACTTTCTTCCTTTCACAGTTTTGTTTTGTTCCTGACGAATTTCAGTGACTTGATTGACAGTGTATTTTTTACATACTATGAGTATTCAGCAGGCGGAAGATATGATTAACGAGGCCGAGAAGAAGGCCCAAGGCGTAATGGTGGAATGCTCACTGTAAGGGATGCCAACTTGGCCATTTTCAGTCGAAAGGTCTTTTTTCCTTCCTCGGTGGGGCGCCAAGTTATGACGAGGCTGCTGATTTATACAAGAATGCTGCGAATCAGTTCAAGCTCGCGAAGGACTGGAATAGGGCCGCCGAGACGTTGGTGGGTTTCCCAGTCCCCTGTTGGGGTCAACCCTTTGTTTAGGTCCTTGCCGGAGAGATGATGGGCAAGTACGGCTCGGCTTCTGACGAGGCTCACCACTACGAGGAGGCAGGTAACGCCTTCAGGCGAGCTGAGAGAATACATGATGCTATCACATGGTAATAGTAGTGGTAGTAGTAGCAGAGCGTCACTGAGCAGTTTCAAGGTACGAACACGCCGTTAAAATTTATAGCTCTGCCGGTCGGTTCCAGGCAGGAGGGAAGATACTACGAACGAGTAGTGGTATGGGGAGGAAGTTGCGACTCGTGACGCTTGTGTATGCGTGCAGTTGCGGAAATGACCGAGGAGGATATCGACGTTAAGAAAGAGGAGGCCTTGGCTTACTACAAGAAGGCAGCGGATATGTTCGAGATGGACGAGTAATGAGAGCATCCTAGCATGAGCATTCACCGACTCATGCTCTCAGGTATAGCAAGGCCCCTCACTCGCAATGCATGTTGAAGGTAGCTGAGCTCTCAGCTGAGGTTGGCAAATATGAAGATGCTGCTAAAATTTTCGAAAAGGAAGGTATTACGCAGTCGTTGCTGTTGATTTTCTACGTATCGCTTTTTATAGGGGAGAAGGCTTTACATAATTCTATGTTGCAATTCGGAGCTCGAGAGCACTTTCTGAAGGCGGGCATCATGTGGATGTGTGCCGGGGACCCAGTTACTGCTAGTATAGCAGTGGAGAGGTGAGAAGCTCGGGCTAGGAGCTGTTGGTAGCGGCCAGGAGTAGGTATATGTCGGAGGACCCTCGGCTGGCTACTTCACGCGAAGGGGAGCTGCTGCAGGACATGACTCAAGCCTTTTCGAATAATGATGTCGATGCCTTTGTGGACGCACTGCACAAGTAGGATGACGATTTGCAGAAGGAATGGTATAGAGAATTCTTGTGCAGGTATGACTCTGTCACTAGACTGGATGCTTGGAAGACTGATATGCTCTGCAAGGTAGTAGTAGTATTAGTAATATCGCAACTACAGGGTGATGCAAAAAATTTCGCGGCCAAGTGGTAGCTGGTTGATACAGCGTTGGAAAGAGCTCGATGGGAGCTTTCGAATGATGTTTATCACTTTGTTCACCGCCTATCACTTGCCGCGAAATTACGAGGGCAGAGCAGGACCCTACTCATTGGCAGGTTAAAGAGATCATGGCCCCCAGCGCTGAGAACCAGGCTAATGATGTCGATCTGACGTAGCGGAATGCTCTCTTTAGACGGCCCCTGAGGGCCCTCCTTTTCTCAGTGATGCTTTCCCCCATATTATTTTGGTATTGCGTTCGTGGGTGAATCACGATGAGCTGGCTTGTTGGTTATTAATTGATTTAAATGCGCTCGTCTGCTTCCTATCGAAACAGCTATGAAGGTGGCAAGCCCTTCCGATCTGCACCGACAAGGCCCTCGATGGCAAAGTTGCCAATATTTATACGAGTCTCGCCTTCTCTCGATGCTCCAGATCATAAGGGGGTGAAGTTAGGAGACAGGTCTCACCAGGGGACCGCCACTGCTAGAAAGAGCTCTCCTACTTCCAATACAGGTAGTCATAATTTCACGTCTGGTGATGAGTCCGTGCACTACTCAGATGGATTGCCGCCTACTAGCCCGGCTTCCGCGTCGCCATGCTCCTCGAAAACGTCTTCTTGTATAAAGCGTGTTCGCTTCGTCAAGTCCTTGACGGCGGACACTGTTGCCAGCACTCAGGGGTATGCTGATTCGTCGGATGAATATTATCATTTTTCCCCCACTTTGTGACTGAGGCCAGGAGCGGCTATTTTGACATACTGCTAAGACAGTGTTTTCCGCCCGTTCGTTATTGATCTCTCGATACAGCTAACTTCAAGGGCTTTGGGATTCTCGATCTTTTGAGGCATCCTCCCACCATTATTACAGGTTTCTGAACAACTGCTTGTAGACATCATTTTCCTTCTAGTGTTCGAAAGCCGACCAGATAGGAATCTGATTCTGTTCGAATACCTATACAATTTTAGGCCACAACCTTCATGACTCGCGCTTGTCATAGGTTTGTCAGGAGCAACATTTTCACTACCAAAAACTTGCTTCATTTGAGTTGTCAATCAAGCTAGTCGTAATCCGAGTATCGTCCATCGCCACGAATTGGTGGTTCGATGATGAGTTGTGTATGGTGTGGTATAGTCTTTTTCATCGAATCATGGATGTTATTGTAAGGGTACGGCGGTGTAGCGACGAGGGCCTGCCAATAGCGGCTCGAGAGGATACATCCCCTTTTCTGGTATGTGTAGTGATGACCTACTGATGCCTTCCAGCATGGTCTCGATGATCAGGTGTCTGCACGCCCCAATAGTGGATCGTTTAACGGCTTTGCCACAGTCGTTGATGAGCACTCTGGTCAATTGGAGGTGTACCAACGAGTTGCCTCTAAAGCTGTACACACAGTGGCGACAGGTGAGTTTGGCAACTTTCGACTCGAGTTCGATCCCTGCATGACGCATTTTTCCTTCGTCATCTCGTAGGTAAATCTGATGCCTGTGTTTTGGTTTATGGGCAGACCGGCGCTGGGAAAACGCGGACAGTTTTCGGTGGTCCCGGGTTTTGGCGAGGTCGACTGAATGGCCCGACCCCTGAGGACGCGGCCTCAGCTGGAATACTCCCCAGATCGGTGGGGATCATATTTAAGCTTCTCGCTGAAGGCAGCCATAGAAGCACAGAAATCTTCGTAAGCTGCGTGGAGATATACCAGGGCCAAATTAGGGATCTCCTTTTCCCTGATCGGAAGCCTCGCCTTTTGGGTGATCGAGCGGGTTCTCATAGCCTAGTCGACACTGGCTGGCTTCGCATAGAGACCACTATGGAGTTTTGCGACTCAGTTCGGAGGTGTGCCTCTCACCGAATGACGTCAGCGACGGGGGGCAATAGTTTGAGTAGTAGAAGCCATTGCTTCTTCTATATCAAAGTGGGCGAACGAACTCTCACTATAGTGGACTTGGCTGGTAGCGAACGCCTCACTAAGCACGGTGGTACTCGTAGTCCACATCGCGTATCAGAAACAAAAACGATCAACTTGAGTCTGAGTTGGCTCTCCCACTGCTTTAAGGCGGTCTCTGTAGGCCAGAAGCCACCGATACGAGAATCGGCTCTCACAAGGTTACTCCGAGGGGCAATCGTTGGTGAACAACGGCTGGCAGTTTGCCTGTGTATAACTGATCGTTCGAGGGACGTGGAGGAAACCCGTGGCACTCTTGGCTTTGGGAGGCTTGTTCAGCTAGTCGGCAAACGACTACAGAAACGAAGTGTTGTTGAAGAAGAGGAACATAGCAACAGCTCAATCGACGTGGCCAAGGATGAGTCGATTGAGGAATATGTGTCGTCGAAGCTGCTAACAACAGCTGAGGAAGACAAGCCACATAATGTGGCCAATTTACAAGCATATGTAAAGCTGTTGAAGCAGTTGTGTTCGGGCACGCAACGAGAGTATCAGAGGGCATTGAGGGCCGACGTCGACGTGCTAAGGGAAGGGATAATCATTGAGGAACCGGAAATGGATTCAGAAGCTCCACAAACCGACTCGGTGTTTTCTATACGGAATACAGCCGATCGAATTTTGCGTCGTTTGGAGGAACGACCGGTAAGGCGAGATCCAATCGACCTTCTTGGGGAGGAGATAGGAAGCGGGAGAAATGACGCGACGACATTCCGGGTGTCGAATTCGTTGACATCAGTCGCCTCTCTCACACGAAGGGAACGCACACCTTTGGAGACTGTCCGAACACGCAGTACTGCTGCTGATGAGAAACATTGCTTAATCCCATGTTATGAGCTACTGAGCGCAGGCTGATAGAATTACGTTGTTGTGTTCTAGTGGAAGTGGTAATGCAAAGAAATGGTAAAACAAAGGCAGAAGCCTTTGTTCACCCGAACAGGAATTGAGATTCGGCGATGCAAATGGCGGGTTGACTCGTAGTTGTTCGCTAACTTCGACACTACATAAAATGGCATATTATAAGATCATTCAGGCCGTGGGAGCGATGACAATATCATTCACTGGGAGAATGGGTCGGTTACTCAAAGACAGGACTCACTACACCCAAGCTGGTAGGTCCAGATCTTGGTGAGATTATCTCAAGTGGCGTCGAATCAGGGCGACAGCGTTTGCGCGTTGCCAAAGCGAATATTTTGTCTCTATCAGACCATTGATCCTGAAGTCCGTGTTCCCCAAGCAACGCAGCGGCAATGGCAATGGCAATCGATCGCAGGATAGGAAAAGGAACTAGGCACGGAGTCATGGCAGCCCACTCCCATTCACAACACCGTCCTCGGTTCCTACAGCCAGACGGCCAGATCCCATCGACCTTCTCAAGGAGCTTTTAAGGCGAGATTCAGTTGTGCAGGTGTAAATGCCTTGTCTACGGTGATATCTGAAGCTAATATACCTATTGGACTCACCATGGACATGAGCATCCCTTCACCGTATGTGCGTAAGACCATCAACAACTAATCATCAGTCGGGCGCTGCTGTTGATCCTAAGCTCCTCCAAGGCCTATACCCAATAACTCGGCATCAAGAAGAGCACAGAAACGTCATCATCATCTCATGTTGTGTCCACACGCTTAGTGCCACGCATCTCAAGTGTGCCGTATATTGATCCGCTGTAGGCGCCTTGGAGGAAGTTGCTCTCGTTGAGCTTGGGAGCTGCTGTAGGAGGCTGTACTGTTATCGGCGGTAAAGGGTGAACGGGTCGACTCTAGAACAACATAAACGCTAGGACCCAGACAGTGCCCTAGTTTACAGCATGTGCAGGTCAACATTCCCCACCGATAAGCTCCACCGTAGGTTTTCACTCATTTAGTAAACGTTTTAACTTTTTTGTTTTCAACTAAGTGCCGAGAAGACTAATGATATAACCCGGACTATTAGAAAGTTTAGCAGTTCAATTCAACCAAGGACGCGCGCAATACAAATGGGTCATGATTTTTTTAAAACAAAACTTTTTCGCTAAGGACTTATTTTGACCTTACCGCGCCGTCGATTGCCGCCATAAGGCACTCCAGACTGTGAGGAGAGAACTTCTTTTCGAGTAACTCGTTACGGAGTAGCTCTCCTACCATACCCTCCGTGACAGGTGGGGTGTTATAAACACTATTGGTCCGACCTTTAGCAGAGGCTCGCAGACGACCTGATGTACTCCAAATGCGACTACGAGCAACAACAGGCTTCCTTCCCCACTTAATAAAGAGCTCGCCCGCATATGCGCAAAGAGATACCCCAACTTCTCAGTAGCGCCCTCCGAGACGGTCCACATCCCTGCCTCAGCCGATAGAGGATGGTAGCTAGGTGCTAGCTCTACCGGGGAGAACCTGCTACCCTATACCACTCCTCATCGAACATCAGTGGTGGAATATGTATTCGGTTTCTTACGATTTCCGTAAATTATGGGAGTTTACGTAGAACTGTGCAGAAAGCAATGAAAATTTCCTCAGAATTTCATCATAGTCACCAAGCAGTTGATGATATGCATATGACACCTCCTACGCTCTAGCAACCTCCGTCGCCTTGTTACGAAGGTCCTCCACAGTGGCCGTGTCGGGATCGAACTCGCCAGAGTGTAGCACACATATAACTGCTATTTCCCGGAGTGCCCTGAAGGACCACCATCATATACTCGATAAGGCGTCTACAAGACCCACCACACGTAGAAGTACACATCTCGTCGGACAGAGCGGATCTCGTGCTCACTGGGCACTCGTCCACCGTCTCGAGCCATATAGCGTATCACCTGGCAAGGACTACCATCCAATTATCGCATGTTATCACATCAGAATCTAAGGCAGCCAGCTCGGCTAAGGAGCCCGCTAGGGCCTTGGCGTCCAATGGGAGATGTGCCGTCTTCTGAGAAAAATAACATACTACGAGTGACATAGGATAGGAAGTAACGACAAGCCGCGGAAGGGGGATCGGCCGCCGCTAGACGCAGCTAGTTATATAGTGCTAATGTCCCCCTGGGCTCACTGATTGCCCAAATAGCATATGCATGGCTGTCCCCATCTGGTGACCGAATGATAGGACCTCCTCATAATACAGCTTCCTAAGGACCAATGATCTCACGCTAGATAAGGACAGTATCCACTTACCTCACTACGTTAACCTGCGGGCGGACGAAGTTGAGCTCAGTGAATACATGACCATCACAGAGAGGCACTGTGTTGGCCAGACCCGTTTTGTACTTCTTACTACGAGCAAACACTCGGACATACCTGTACACCAGGGAATTTCATGGCGCGTGACGGTCAGTTCATACCAATATCCTATATGTGCATTGGTGCCAGCGTTCACCACGTGCATAATCTAGAAACATTACATGGGAAAAAGGCGGAGCGAAGCAACGTCTTCTTCCTCCTCACCTTCACATCCCTATCCCAACCCTCATGACCAAAGGACACATTATCACTCTCGTCAATGAGGTTGACATTGAAGAGCCTAGAGGCCAGCTCGCTGTAGCGCTTCAACGCCGGTCCAAATACCATGTACTCTGCCAACTGCCTTTGCAGCCTATCTTGCCTACACATAGTGACGTAGAAGAGCTCGTCAATGATGTCCACATTGGTTGTTAGAGGCCCTTTAGACTCCGGTGTAACACGACCAGCCATTGCGCCCAACTTCAGCTGCTCTAATCGCTTTACGAAGGGGACCAGGAGAGGTAGACTGTCGTTCCAACAGTGTTGTAATACCCGCATCAAATGAGCATCGTTGTGTATGCCCAACTGGGCATTCTCCATCTCCCCCCAGCTGGCAAACCCAAGGGATTCCGCGACCCTCTTCCGAGACTGCAATACGGCCAGTATGCTCTTGTCGTAAGCCTCGTTCTCATAGAAATGCCTATGGTATGCATTAAAAATGATCTCCCGGGTTTTCCTGTTATGGCACTCTCCCACCACTCTGTAGTATGTTGCTCTGTCCGCCTATCAAAAAAAGTCAAGTAGCTTCGCTCCGCTAAAGTTTGGAGGCTCCTCCTCACCCTAAGACAATAGCTATCAGTCCTATACCACACCCTGAAGTACCGCATCGCATCCTCAGTGAGGCCCATGAGATCTTTCTTCCTATACAACTAGTTTGTCGAGTTAATAAGCGTCAGCTACAACTAGTACTTGAAATAGTTCCTCTCCCCCTTCATTTTCTTATATACCACCTTATGGCCCTTAGCCATCGCCTTCAACAGCTTCCTTGCATGCCCTTTGGACTTCTCCGCCAAGAGCAACTAACAGAGAGCCGATGGAATAGAATAGCACCAACAAGGCAACTACCTCCAACAAGCGTGTACCACTGAAGTGACCGAGCTCCTCCTTGCCCAACCTACCGGCTCGGAACAGTTTCCTACTCACATCGCAGGAGTTAGAAATCATCCAGCTGGACCAGAGCCGCATATACCGACCTCTGAAGAATCCCTAGGGCCACTCTTAGGATGATGTTATTGAGTCCTACCCAGAGATAGCCGGATTGGATACTGCCTGGGCCTTCTCGACGTGCCGCATAAAGGCTAAGTACCTCTGCTTCAACTCCTTCTCCTCAGTAGCCCTATTCAGAGATCTCCTTAAGGCCATATATCTGAGCGCTTCATCTGTTGCGACGTGCATATCGCCGACAAGACTACCTCCAGAGCATTTTGCTACCACTACGCATTTGCCTAAGGTCGAGGGGGCCTTCCGACCGCTCCCCTCGAGCGAATGCTACTATGTTAAGGATGGGGTTGAGGAGACGTATACCAGGAAAGGCTACCCGCATGCCCTTCTCCATCACTGGCATACCGACTGACACCCAAGCCTTTCCTCATCTATACACTGCCCTAGCTCCCTACGCTTGTTCCGTATGACCCCATCCCCGGGACGGGCAGGGTCAAAGCCCATACGCTTCAGCGTCTTCTGCTGCTTCGAAAGGGCCCTGGCCACAGCATCACCCATGGAAGGATAGTTATGCAACGGGGCTTGGGAGAAAATCGGATGACCCTGGGCGTGCGCGGTTGACATGCATATTATCGTTGAGGAAATGCAAGATAGCAAGAGTCATACCATTTCGGCGACCCATGAAACCTACAACGGCCAAGGTCGTGGTAGTAATGTCAGCGAATGTCTATCTAATAGAAGTGCTTCGCTCCGTCTCTCGATCGCTTGTGTCGACTACGGTGAGAGCAGAGGAGGACTGGACCGTGGTGGACTTATTCGATAAGGCTGGTTTGAGCAGGACGGAGGAGGTCGTTATCGCCACTCGGAGTAGTGTCGGCACCGGGGATCGAACCTGGGACCTGTTATTAGGTGCATGGGAGTACTGCAAGAAGTTAGAGGCACGGAGCACTGCCGACAGGAGTGTAGTATAGGGTTTGGAAGTCTTTACATAGCTGCTGTTGGTATATAGTCTTCGCGACTAGCTGAGGAGAATCGTCGTCTTTCCGAAGAGGTAGCCCGACTAGAGCTCTTACTGCAACGGCCGGTCGGAGGGACCTCAGCGGAGCACGATGCGGTAGGAGGGGTAGCTGGAGGGAAGTATTCACTAGGGATGGGCTCAGGAGGCTGGGACTGCGCCCAATAGTGCACGAAGTCATATGTCGAGACGGAATAGTGTCACGTCCATGGGCAGCTACCAGAGCGAGGCGTACGATTCTCAATCATACCATCTTTTCTCCAAATCACGAGCAGGTATATGGAGCATCAGGAGTGTGAGATCCTCCGTCTTGACGAAGAGCTCAGCTCCTTAAAAGCCTCCGTGAGGGCTCCACTCGCCTTCCTCCTGCGTTGCGGTTGACGCTGTGGCTTCAGAACCGGAGTCTCACCGACGAGCTAGCACGCGTGCGCACAGAATTAGATAAAATGAAGTTCGATAATGTACAGTTGAACCAGCAGGCAGCCGATTTAGTGACAGAACGGGACAGTCTCTTGCGGAGGATTTCCGCTGAGTCTCGCGACGAGCTCCTTAGTGGTGGAAGTCCCGACTCTGCTGCTGGCGTGGAAACCAACAGTAAGGCCATACGGGTGAGTACCACAACTACTGTGCTGATAGATTCTATGGTCGAGGAAAGCCTTCAAGTGACGGCCACTCCGCCTCCGCCTTCTCCCATGGTATACACGGAGGCGTCGAGTCCCTCTTGGTGCAATAGTGCTACTACCCCTGGTGCCGTCCTGGACCAAATATTACCCTACAGTCCAGACACGGCGGCTGGCGGCCTGGATCGGACAAGGACTGACGAGTAGGTCGATTGTTACTCGCAACTCAGTGGAGGGTCTTTTCCCTGCATAGTGTGGTCCACACGCTGACTGTCAAGGTGGCTGAGTTAGAGCGTGACAAGGAACAGCTAGTGGAGCGTCTTAGCAAGCATGCATTCGGAGGAGAAGCGAGCATGTCTAGGTAGGTCGTCGTTGGTCCGCCTCAGTGGAGACGTCCCTTAGGCCAAGCTGCTCCCCATCGTCGGGCGGACGGTCATTTGGTGGGTCGTTTCGTGTGCTTGTGTATTGCCGTGTACCTCATCAGCAGGGGCGTCGTTATGCGATGAGCTCACGGCCTTCCACAATGCGGAGAAGGTGGAGGAGTTAGAGGCGGAGTCGGACATGCTTAGAGATACTGTGGCACGGTACCGTTCCCTGGTCCGGCGCAAGGTAGGGTAGACTCGTACTCTTCCCCATCCTGGCCACGTCTTCTGGTCATAGGTCTTATTCCCGGCGCTTTTCAGGACGAGTATCTTGCTCGCATCGTAACTGTAATGGGAGAGGGTGGTCAAGCGAGAGGGGAGGACTCCGAGGAGCGGTATAATTAATACTGGCTTTTCTCAAGCATGTCTCAACGACAGGGTTAGTATTGGGTTTTGGTCATCGGATGTTGCATCGCTCCGCTAGAGACCGTGGCATGTTTATTATTAGCTAATTCACTTTATGATCATCGACTGGG